ACAGGATAAGAAATTAAATCCTCTGATAAAAACTACAAAGATATTCTTGCATAATTTAAGATTCCACTCTAATAAAATTGTCCATTATAAGAAGGTAATATTATTTTTTTTTGATATTTTTAGCCTCCAATTACATCACTACACTCCTTATATCATAATAGGCTATATTTTAAGCATAAGGAGCACTAATTTTGAGAGGAGAGTTTATCAATCAATCAGGTATAGACTTAAAGACATTGTTTAAACAAAAGGGTAGCTGCATTTTAGAAAACCAATTAGACTGCATTAAAAAATGAAAATGATTAACATTTTATTATAATTAATAAATATCAACTCTATCAAGATTTTTTTCACCATTATTTTTTTACTCTTTAAATGGTCAAGTTTACTTTTTCTGCTCAATATATTTTCATCATTACTTAATATTCTCTTTAAAAAAAATAGTAAAATTGTAATCATGTCCTATTATTAATTATAAATTGTAAAAATTATTAATTTGTAAATACTTAATTTGTTATTATTAAGTATTAAATGGGAATTTTTTCAAAATTATATTTCTTTTTCTCTCAATTTTACATTCTTATTACTTTATAATTTATTCAACATAAAGCAATCCTTAACGAATAATACTTATGATTTGAAACTAAAAACTGAATATTAATTTAAAATTTTATGCAATACTATTTTCTAAAAATTATAGAAGTGTTTAATATGATATCACATCAACAGAGCATATTGTTTTAAATAACAATGAAAATCATAATAGGAATATATATAAAGTGCTCAAGACTATTTTAGTTTTTTAATTTTAATATTATACTATATCTATGGTTTTAAAAGATTTTAATTATTTATGGGCAGTTCTAGATATATTAAGTTGGATCAATAATTACTATTTTTTAATGTTATTATCCTTTCAATGTGGAATTATTCTTCTTAAGTGGTGGTTGATCAAATCTCATTGGTTTTCCAACTTATTAAGGATTGAATCAACCTGATTGTAATTATTACTTTGAAGCTTCAAAAAAATTCAAAGATAGAGTAATTGATCCATTATTATTTAACAACATATGAGTTCCATTTATATTTTTACTATCTTCTATCATCATGTTCCTAATAAACTATCTACTTTCTTTTCTCTACTTAATGATGCCTTGAAAAATATCTATAAAAAAGGACAAACATTTAAGCATTTTTTTATATTTCAATAAAAAAATAAACTTCAATCAATAAATAACAATATATAATCAAAATTTTAAATATATTACGAATCTTTTATAATAGAATAGAAATCAGTACATCTCTTAAATTAATTTAAATAAAAAATTTGATTATGTGTATGGTTGGAAAAAAGTAAATTGTTATTTGGCATAATCATTTATTTAAACATGCCTTCAAAACCTTTTTAAAATCTTAGAACTCCCTTTGAATTAGCAATTTTACTTTAATCATCATATTCAAACAATAATTTAAAAATCATATTAGGTGTAAATCTATTTTTTGCAATGTATTTCCATCAGGAGAGAAACAGACTGAGTAGACAACTCCTCTATGACCATCTAATTTTGCTTTTTATTTCCTGTTTTAACATCCCATAGACGGATAGACTTATCATAACTACCAGAAGCTAATGTATTTCCATCAGGAGAGAAGCAGATTGAGCAGACAATACTACTTTGACCATCTAATTTGGCTTTTTATTATCCTGTTTTAACATCCCATAGACGGATAGACTTATCATAACTACCAGAAGCTAATGTATTTCCATCAGGAGAGAGACAGACTGACCAGACAGTATTACTATGACCATCTAATTTGGCTTTTTATTATCCTGTTTTGACATCCCATAGAC